TTTATACTCACTCTACAATCAGTCAACCAAGAATTCCAGATTGCTGAAAGAAGCAGCGGCCGAGTTCAACATGGAAATACTGAAAATAGGTCAAATTTTCACCATCAGATGGGTTGCCAGCAGCTTTAAAACAGTAAAAGCTGTATGGAAAGATTTCCCCGCACTAGCACTCCATTTTAAAACATCCAGTGAGAACGCATCACGTAATGATCTTGAGAGGCAAAAATACAAGGGACTTTTCAAGCACCTAACCAACTCAGGATTCGTGGAAGATTTGGCTGTTATGAAAGACATCCTGCGTGAACTCCAGAGCCTGTCTCTCAAGCTGCAGAGAAGAGAAATGACACTTGTGGACTCAAGTGTCCACATCAAACAAACCATAAATGTGTTGACCGCCATGAAGACGACCGGGGGGAGATCAACGAAGAAGGCTGAACAGGGCGTCTCATCTGGCTTTTTTTAAGGACGTAGAGCTGACAGAAGGCAGGGGAAAAATAAACAAGCCTCGTTTTTATGAATCGGTGGTTGCTACTCTAACCAAGCGCTTACCGGAGTCAAGCTTGATCCAGACGCTCAAAGCTCTTGATAAGCGCTTTTGGCCTGGAGAGCAGGAAGACTTGACTTTGTTTGGCGAACAAGAAGTGCACCGTCTGGCTAAATCGCTCGGAGAACCAGCCGGGGAGGCCGTGGAGCAGTTTAGAGACTGGAAATTGCAGGGCACTCCACCGGGCAAAACACTGGAACGGCTATGCATAGCAAGTCGCACTTACCTCCCCACGTCTGCTGAGTGCGAAAGAGGCTTTTCCGCCGTGAATAACACCGACAACCAGAGCCGCAACAGGTTGCGTGAGGAGAGCCTGTCTTCGCTTCTGTTTGTGGACCTAAACGGACCCCCTTTGGACAAATTCGACCCAGTGCCGTTCGTGAAAAGCTGGATTAAAGCAGGACATCGTCTCTCTTCTTCTTGGAAACCAGGACGGCAACGAGAAGAAGTCGAGCCAAGGCATCTTTGGTCTATTCTCACTTAAGGTAAAAGACTATTTTTTCGACCTTTGCTGTGCATAAGATGAGCGTGTGCGTATGTCCTGTGTGGATTCCGGGGTTAAGAATAGCATAATTAGCCTTGGCGTTCAAGTTAGAGTGTGTGTGTGTGTGTGTTTTTGGGTGTGTGCAGGCCCGCACCTCCCTACACGCAGACCACGCAGACTGTGTGTGGGTGTGAAGGTGTGTGCAGGCCCGCCCCTCCCTACACGCAGATCACGCAGACTGTGCGTGTGTGTGTGTGTGTGTGTGTGTGTGTGCAGGCACACCCCTCCTACACGCAGAGCACGCAGACTGTGTGTGTGTGTGTGTGTGTGTGTGTGTGTGTGTGTCTGAGACCAGCTCTGCTCCCATTTCCTCGCATAGAATCGAAAACAGATGGCTCTTTAACGGTCGCGTATTCATTCATATGAACGTTAGAATATGTAATTATTTGACAGCGCCCGGTTGAGAAACGCTGCTACTACTGATTGTCTTGGATTGCATCCATGAAATATTGCATAGGCCTACTGCATATTGAGAAATCTTCGACCGGTATATTGCGCAATAAACGGGAGATGGGGACCCCCCCGATTATTGACGGGTATTTCGCACACTGCCTATAAAGCTCCTTAAGCAGTATTACGTTTGCCTGAGGTTCTTTTTTTGTCCATTCAAAACGAATAATTCTTAATTGATGTATTCTAAACAAATGAAAGCTGAAAAATACACCACATATTTAATGCTATAGCAAGAAAATGGGAGATAAAACATGAATTGGTCGCCTGACTGTTGTGCCGTATGTTCTAATAATAATGTTGGAAAGGAGTTTTAAGAGCTTATTTTCCCCATGGTGCTAATAAACAGTAATGTTCTTCAGTGGCCTTCTACTCAGCAAAGTGTATTCATCAGCCAGTTTCCAGTGGTTCTTTCAGACCCTTTCATTAATAAGGAATATCAGAAGCTTGAATCATCAGTGATTTAAATATCTTTTAATTTGGCTTTCTGTTATTTTTTCCTCAGGGTCTTCCTGCTCAAATAGATCGCATGCAGGCTAATATTCCAAGTTCAGTCTTAATGATTAAATAGTTTTAATGAGTAATACTTCTGATTGGGTTTCAGCAGAATCAGTATCTCTCCCTGCACATGTCGAGGCACATGCTGCATGCACACTTTATTCCACTTTGTTCTCTCAAACTCCTGGGTTTTTCTAAATGTCTCTCAGTTCTTCCATGTGTAATTTCTGAAAGGTCAAGCGTTGTAAATTGGACATATCAGAACGAAGATGAAAGTACATCTGTGCGTACGCCTCTGAGTGCCTTTTCTCCAATCCTGTGATTTCTCATAAAGCCTAGTAATGGAAATAGTCTGTTTCTGAAGAGACTGCAGCTCCCACCGGCACAGTGTTTATAATTAAGTGTGATTTCCAACGGAAAAAGAGTAATGCAGGCCATTTCCTGTTGTCTCTGCTCAGTGTGCTCTGTTTTTCATTTGTGCCATACTTCCTTTACAGATAAATATGCAGATTTTGAGTTGGGAAGACTTGCAATCAAATGATTAAAATGCTTATTAATTCCACAGGAATTTCCTTTCTATTTAATTGCTAAGTTGAATTTATTGAACAGTTAAGTGAAATACAAAGTGAATTCAAATGAGCGCTCTAAAGTAAGGTACGGTGAGTTCAGTGTCCAGTTTTGCTCTGTACAACAACTCCTCTCAGGAGATTTAACTTCACTGACTCAATGACCAGAACTGACATGCAGTCGCTCACACATAGCAAAGGTGTCAGTTTCAGAGGAGCATACAGGGATCCCTGAGAAAGTCAAATGCATGAATACAGAAAAAAGAGCTCAATTTGCATTCATTGGATGTGTCTGTCGCTAGCGAGAGGAAAATCTGCGGCGTGATCTATTATTCTCCTATCGTTCAGAGAGTTTGTACTTGTACCTGTCAGACAACATAACAACTGAGCAGGGAATCAAATAAACAAATCCAAATCTCAAACCCAAATCCCCTGATACAGACACACTCCTAAAATCATTCATTCAGTCACATTCAGTCATGAAATATTATTCATAAATCCAGAGAATTTTGTGAATATGGAGTGGAACATCACTTGCATGTTATGTTTGATGTTGATTCTTTTTTCACATGTGCTGTGTGTATGAAATAATGACGAATGAAAATTCTTTAAAATAATGGATTAGTACTGGAAACGTTTATCACCTCACTGGAAAATGTATCAAATGTAATTATGTGGACTGTATGATTTATTAAATGTAAAAAGTTATTTTCTGCACTAACAAAAAAACTGCCAAGCGACCATCCAAATTGACCATTTGCCAAACTGCTCCCCCGAACAGCAATTGTCAAAGCTTAGCAACCGTAACTAGGCACGGCAGGTCTGTCAAGCTTTAGATTTCTCCACATGTCAGGTGGTTTGCATGAAGCTGCTGGGAAGCTTTTTTTTGCCTTGGAAATGTAGCTTTAGCTACAGATTCTGAGTACAATAATTTATATTTTAGGAATCAAATGCATAGTGAGAACTGATTTTTTAGAGTGTCGTCATTTTGAAGTCTGGAAACATATACAAGTTAGCTAGAGACAATTTTTTAAAGATGACATATCATGCTCATTTCTCAAATTATTTTCCTCATAGTGTCTTTAGGAATATACCTGTATTCACACTCTGTCTGTAACGCTCGGTTTAAGCACCTGTCTCTTTAAGACCCCTCCTCACAGAGCCTTATTTGCTCTGAATTGCTCACTAGAGAATATATGGTGCAGCATTTGCACAGATCGTTCTCAAGCCCTGGGTGGATATACTCATTTTTGGGGTTGGTTTATTTTACTGAGCCTGCAGGGGACATAGGAAGTAGAGTCACATCTGAATAGCTTGTTGATTCCAATGGTTTCGGACTGAGCAAGAAATGACTGATTTCATAGTGTGTGTGGGTTGGTAATCCAGATAGCAAAATGTATGTGCACAAGCTCTATGAATAGTTTTTCATTATTCTTGAATCAAATAACACTAGGTTAAATAGATATAGCTACAGCTGATACAAATCTGCAACAATGTAATTTAACGACAGTGGTAATTACAGCCTGCTTTTTTCCGCCTCTATCTGAAATAAAGGACCCATTGTTTTAAAGAAAACCATGAATATCAAGTCGTAAATCTACCACTGACATCAGCAACAGGAATTAAGTGGGGGGCTGGAATATATGGAAAGAGAAAAGATTATAATAATACCATATAAAAAAATAAATGTACACTCGCAATATCATAGCAACCACCTTGCAGAGACAAAGGACCTCAGACTGCATGGTGCTTTATTTTACATCAGGAAACATCTTACCCAGCTGTATCTGCCTGCTGAAAACCATCTAGGCTTTTCTCCGTGGCCATTTTATGAGCAGAGTGACCATGCAGGGCACCGCATGGCACAAGCATAGATTCAATTATGAGGTGGGGGTGATTGACAGGAAGGTGTGTGTGCCAGGCTCTGTCTATACACAGCCTGAGACTGATAGATGTGGAGACTTCTGGCCTGACAACTGCTACCTGGCTGTCAGTTAGAAAGTCCCATTGTGCTGCTGGAAAAACCCTGCACACTCAGCTGTGTTTACAGCCCAGAGCACAGGACTGCAGACACGCCCCTGAGGATTCCCCAACATCGCCCTGCTCCAAAAATACAGGGTGAATTAGATGGAGACAAAGCACCATAAACCTATTTCCCCCCATGTCCTCTGTGAGGCTGCCTCCCAATTAGCCACACCAGCGCTGCTGAGGCGAGATAACAATAGAAGCCCATGTATCCCCTAAAGACCTCACTAGAGGACCTTTATTACCGTATTAATATCTTCTACATGTCACTGCTGCCCCCACTTGCCTGGCAGCATGCCCGCAGATTTTATATGAGGGGAAATGAGCAGAGGGGCTGTAACTCAATACAAGAAGAAAACAGCAGGACACAGCATTAGTCTGGAATGGTACATGCTTTAATTAGTGAGATGCAGTCAGGAATAAATATAAAATATGATACAGCAAGCTGCACAGTAAATTAAAAAAACATGATTATGGGTGGAATTACGAAAATGTTTCTTGCAAAAGTAAACTGCCACCCAGTGGAATGAATAACCCTTTTCTGAGCTGACATAAAGTAAATAAAAACACTTGTCAGTGGCAGAAAAACTATTATTTAAGGAAAAGAAACGGCAGTTGCAAGCACTTCCACTGATATGTTATCCTTCAATACTTCCTTCATGCATATGTCACAATTTCACTATTGTGACTGTACTGTATTTTGAAATACAGCATCCTTTTAAGCATACAGTGCTTTAAGACAGGGTGGAAGAAAAATCTAAATATTGCATTTTCAACAAGATAAAAACAATAAAGTGTTCAAGTTAGCTCACATTCTGTAGCACCACAAATGAGTTATTTCATGGATACAATTACATTTAACTGAAGTCCAATCGTACGGAAAACACACAGTGCCTAGCTGACCTAAAAAAGAAGCATACATTTAAGTTTATGTGCACGACTGTTACCAGTAAAAGACGTTTTGGTTGTCCACCCTAAACAAATGCAAATAGGTGGTTTTGGTGAGTGATTGCTCATTTTTCAGCTTGAGTTGGCTATTTTAAAACATTTGTATCTTCTGGTATTTTTATCGAATTTTGATACAATTTGAAAGCAAGACTATGTCATTTTTGAAAGAAGCAATAACAAATTCATACTTGGACAACAAAAAAAACATGAGAAATGCACCACAGCCTTGCTCAAATCAATACACAGGTTTCGTTGATGCAACTTTTCCGTAACATATAGTGCCTATTTGGCTTATATTTGAATTTTTGCTGTGTAACTAACATTACTGAGCCTTTTGTGTATGATCAAAAGTTACGCTTTAAGGCTGGCTAATGATTTCTAACTTTTAAGACTCAATTGGATTGTTAAGGAAAAACCCTTAATAATCAAAATGATCACCTAAAATGGGAAATGCTTTTATAGTAAACATTGAAAATACAAAATGACACATTATAGCTCTGCAAGACATGATCCTGTCTTCAAAACATCTTAATTAAAAAATAAATCGCCACGTGGCTTAAGGCACTCTTTACCTGGCTTTGAGGCAACAAATGGCATTCAAGTGTCTTATATTTTGCATTTTTTATCAAAATCCTTCATGCTTTTCCTGTTTTATATGTATAAAAGACTACAGACTTTTGAAGGCTTTGTTCTGGAACTTTCAGCAGTACCAGAGGCTGGTTGTGAAGCTGAGTGAGGCTCGGCAGTAAATGGATGCGGGGTCACTCCTTCTGCAAAGCTGAGGTCACACTCTCGGAGAGCCGGTCTGTCTGTGAGTAGTCATAAAACACACAGCATTCATTTCATATGCCCCAGCTGTCACTGAAGTATTGGTCCTCATCTTCTTCCTCTTCTTCTTCTTCTTCTTCCACTTCTTCTTCTTCTTCTTCCTCTGTCCCGTTTTCCATGAGGTCGTCATCTTGTAACTCATTCCCTTCCTCCTCCTCTTCCTCTTGGAGCTGTTCAAGCATGGTTTGTAAAGTGGCTTTTACTTCCTGAACCTCCTTTTCCAACGACTGTGCGGCACGAGTTAAGGAAGAATCTGATGCTACAGACACAAACTAAGAGTCACATAAAAACATGTAAATAGAAAACATGCCAGCAGACAAATCTCGGGGCAAATGTGACACTTGTGGCCCAGGATGGTTAATGGTAACACCAGAGGACAGACATAACGTGATGAAGTCATCAATCTCCAATTTGGCCACCAAATGGATTACTGGGACAGATCATCAAGTCATAGCCAATTTAACCCCATCCAATTCAGTATTCATGAGCTCATCTCGTCTGTGGAACCGGGAGCCGGAGTGGGGAACCAAACAAACAGACTGCCCAGTTAAATTATTCATAAACCATCGATGAAACGGGATAGAGGCTGTCATCAGTTGAGGGGATTGTTTAACCTGCTTAGAAACTCGGATTAATCGTGTGAGTGTCCATCTTAAGTGGCAAATCAAAGGGACGGCTTTGATGGCAGATGGGGCCTGATGGCTCATTTTACTGTCTGAATGGACACAGATTGTTCTCATTCATAATTAACCAACCATAAAAAAGACAGTTCGCATCACGTTTAAAGCAACATGGTCCAAATGGGACAAAAGTTCAAAATCACGTTATAGATCTTTAAATATTGTGTAGTCATTTTCAGGCTGAATCTGACAAGACAACCTATAGTAACCAGCATTTCGCTTTTTCAATTGGTACCCCAAGTTAGGCAGTTTTCAGAAATGAAAAAAAAAGAAAACAGTATTTTTGAAATACATTTCTCTTCCTCTCACTTCTCTGTCTTAAGCCCATCCCACCAGACGATCACTGGCTTTCATAAAGTTCATAAAGTAAGCTGTAGAAGCAGCCATTTCATTCAAACATCATCTCTATGATTGTGAGACTGATGCCATTATATAACAATTCTATACAATTATTTTCCTTTTAAGAGAAATTGTTGCTCTCAATCTCAGAAACCCTTCTCCAACATATTCAGCCTCTCGTTTTGATAAGTTTGTAATCCTTTTTCCAGGTTTCTTTGCAGTGTAAACAGTTGTTGCAAATGTTGAAATAGCTACTTTTAGACTATCAGGCTTATACCGAAGAAACTCATCTGAGTTTGTAGCCACCATCGACACCCTCTCCCTGAAATGGCCTGTGATTGGCCAAATCTCCAATTAATGAGCTAGATTTTGTAAAGCCTGAAAACAAAGCCAAGAGGAGGTGCATCAGTCTAGTTTTTAGTCAGAATTACCGAATATTGCCTACCTTACCTATCCCATCATTAAACTAACCACACTATATTATTGTTTTTCAATTCCAATCCCTGCGGGTTGTCCAATTTACCTCCTTGTATTGAGAGAGGGGACTCAATTAAGACCCTTAGAGACTGGAGGTTTGATCTTCCTGTCACTATGGCAACAGTAATATAATCCTGAGTTCAGTGTCTGTTCAGTTTTTGCAACCCAACATCAATATTGTGCTGTGTCTTCAGTGTCCTCTAGTGTCCGTGACGCTTTTACATTGACTACAAAAGACCGGGATGAATGGCATGTAAGGACACTGCAACCGAGAGGTGGGGAGGAGCAGGCCAATCTGTCTATCACCCTCTGCCAGGATGCACTGATATCATGCAAACAGTGCAGGAGCCTGCACTGACCCCTGACAGCCCAGCAGGAGACAGGAATCTCTAATCAGATGTGAAAAAGTCCGGCTACACTTCAACAGAGAGTGAAGGGTGTACGCACGGCATAACGCACAGCTTTTATAGATCCTAAAATGAAATAAACATCATCAGATTAGGAAAGTATTTCTGGCAGCCGGTGATTAAAGGAGAGAAATAGGACGTGACAGAAAATTAAAAACAGGTCAGATGGCAAATTATCTTCATCTTGGTGTTGAAATATTGCCTTTTCTATCCGTCTTAATAAGCTCACAGTGTAGAGGGGAAACGCGGAGGGAGAAAAACACACTAATCTATTTCCAATCAACTTTCTAATTAGCGCGGGAAATTATGTATTGTGACCTGTAATCAGCCTCAACAGTTTCATTTGAGTCATTATCATGGATATTGTAATTTCCTCCGAACCAGATCCAGCAAGTGGAAGCGAGCAGGCAGAGGAGAGGAGAGTGAGGGGGGGTCAGCAGAAGCATGGACATTACGATATGACGAGGGCACAGTCATTAGAGTGACATTCCTCTATCTGTTCTGGCTCTGCCTCTGCCGGCCGACTTTAATCTCAGCCCTTGGTGACTGGCAGCCCGCATCAAGCACTCTTTAATAACCTTGCTCTGAGTTTTACCATTTCATTTTCGGGTTTGCATGTCCACCTGTCAAAGAAAATCCTCTGATCCAAGTTTATCTTCAATTCCCCTTCCTGAATGGACCCATAATGTCAGATAAGACGGGTTGATTTTTTTCAAAAGCTATATTCCCAGAACAACAGTGAGCCTAGAGGAAGTTCGGGTGTGTACTTTTGAGAGGTGGAAAGCCTCAAGGAAACTAGGTCCTGAAGATGGATGAACAGAGACAGAAACACGAACAGATAGAAAACAGTCAGTTTATATGATGTATGTATGCTTAGAGAGCAGTGAAAGGATATGGGTGAAGGCCTGATCCCGGTTCAGTATGGCCGTCTGCAATTCATCTTCCAAGGTCATTAGTCTGTCACTGATCAGCTCGCAGCGCTCTGTCAGATCTGCAGCCTCACTGCCCTCATCCTGGAAAGAAAAATTGATGAAATGATGGGTAATGAACGGGAGGGAAGATCAGCAATTGAAGCTGTAATGGAAATAGAAAGGAATAAACACAATCATCTGACAATAAAAAGCAAAAAAAGAGAAATATGGGTTTTTTAAAACAGGTATAATAAGAACACTGGACAGTTGTGTAAGACACTTATAACCAGGGGTGCACATAACTTTTTTGCCCTGGTTCTCAAAGGAGCACCTGGAGATGTTGCTTGGTGCTCATCCTTAAAATGAAATAAACCGTAACTTTTGAGGGGGTCTTGACTTTATTTGCCAGACACACGGCACTGAACACACATGCAGAGGTGAACACAGAACACACATGCAGAGGTGAACACAGAACACACATGCAGAGGTGAACACAGAACACACATGCAGAGGTGAACACAAGACAACATTAGCACGAGCAGTAATCCTACAAGCTGTCATCACTACCCTCCTGACTGTTCTCCTCACTGTCTTCCTCTCTGTCAGACATGGTAGCTGATGATGTAGGCCTACTTCTTTCTCTCTGGTTGAGTCTGCGATTAGTTGCTTGCATCCACAAGTCAACAGCTGGGTTTGGGTCGAAAGTCTCTGTTGTCATCTTAGACAAGTGGATGTAATCAAAGAAATATGTGAACATAACCAATAACCTACCATAGCCAATAACAAATTAAACTTATTTTATTTGTGTTGTTCATTCATATTTACCTTAACATTTATTTATTTATGCATCTTTTTTTTATCTCTCCAGTTTTAAAGGATATTTTTGGTTACTGTCCTATAGTATACATTGGAATGATTTCAAACCTGTTTATCCCAATAATTATAAAGGAGTGCCTTGGAAATGTGTGTTTACATAAATTGTGACCAAACCGTTTGAACTTAGACTAAAGTGAACTATCTAAACACTCAGAGTCCTTTACCTCACTGAGCTGTATCAGCCTCTCAGTCTGACTGGAGAGGACTCTCCTCCACATTATTGTAGAAACATCTTCTTCTTAGCTAGCACCAGATTCTAATAACAACAGCCCTAACAACCCTCCCTCTCTCCCACGCTCACTCGCATTTTGGCTGTGAGTTGCGGGCGCCAGATAAGCCAACATCCCCCATTTTCATCACTTATAGCGCCCATCGTACAGAGCAAATGAAACGTGTAACCGGGGTGAAAAGGGTGTTACATTTACTTAATTATGAATATTGTTACATCAAGGCCGAAAATTAGGATGAGCGCCAACGGTCAAAACATTTTGTTTCCCTCCCAGAGCTGTCAGCGCAGCGCCTCCACAGATCTGGCGCCCTACTGTAGGCGAACATCTATAACGCCAGTGCTACGGGCCGGCCCTCAGTTAATATGCAACTCGCAAATATCTTTCTCTCTCTCTCTCTCTTCTATCTCCTTTCTCCTCTCTTCTCCCTTCTCTCTCCTCTCTTCTCCCTTCTCTCTCTCTCTCAATGTTGGTGCGCAAATGCGCCTTTTTTCAAATGACCCGGTGCTCTTTTTTTGGCGGAGGTGCGCATGCGCACCTGCGCACCAGTTATGTGCAGCCCTGCTTATAACAATGTGCTGTAACCATGTTTCTGAGCATTGCTATTGCCTATTCACACAACATTATTGTGTCATGTATTGTCTGTGATATACTGAATATATATTTAGTTAGAGTTATTGCTGTTCTACAAGTGAGAGGGCATAGGTACAAAGGAGTATGTGCTCATAGCCTTTTGTCGTAGTTCAAGGAGGTTTTCCATCATTCATTTGACACTAAATCCTCGACACTGTTCAGGCACAAGTCTGAAGTGGACGACTGCTGTGCAGTAAAAAGGACGCTGCCAAAATGTGTCAAAGTCCCTAGGTCAAAATGTACACTATTTAACAGGTAGGAGTTGCACAACATTCAGCAATGTATGCACTTCAACTGAGGATGCTGTGAGTGTGTATTGGAGGCAGGCCCGGTTCTACGGGGGTGTATAAGGGTGCATTGCACCCTCAGTTGAGTCGTTATGCACCCTCATTTGAAAAATGAAAAGTGAAAAAAAAAGAAACAGTGAAAAATATTAGATATATAGTAGTAATAATAATAATAATTTTGTTGAAATAAAATAAATTGTGGTTAAATAACATTGCTGCATTTATTTGGTCAATTGAAACGGTAAGTAGGCCTACGTTATTATGTCAGGTGCGCGTGACCTGTGCCGCTGCGCGTTCGTCATCTGCAAGGTGCTTACACAGCAGTCAGTGATGGACATCAGAAAATGGTTAAAAAAACAGCCCTAATCACCAGCAGTAACACTGTATCTACTGCAGGTAATAACTAGGGCTGTCAAGTTAACGCGTTAACGCAAAAAAAATTAACGCCACTAATTATTTGAACGCGATTAACGCATGTGTATTTTTTGTCCTCGGCCGCCCCGTAGTTTCAGAGCGCATCGAGTTTAAAATACCATCTACAAGCTGATGCTGACAGCCCCGCTCCTGCCGCCCGCTTGTGGCAGACCAGACTTCCACGCTCACCGGCAGGCACCGACTGGCCATCTGGAGGACCGGGAGGGTGTGTGTATGTGTGGCCCGAGCGAGCGAGAGAGAGACCTTACGTGCATTGTTGTTGTTAGCATCTGGTGCTAGCTAGCTGCACTAACGGATATGGAGCTGTTTAAATGAAAACAGAGGAGCGACATTTCGCCACAACTGCGCCGAGCACTTGACTTTATGCAGGAAGCCAGACAGTGGGACATTGTACGAACAGTCAGCACACTCAGCACGGATAGTGCGCAACATGATTGCAGCGTCCAGGCAGCTCCCGTTCGAGCATATGCCTTGAGTTGCACATAGCTCCAACGATCCATCACACACACACACACACACACACACACACACACACACACACACACACACACACACACACACACACACACACACACACAGGTTGTTGTGTTTAATATTCATGAGAATATTTGTCATTGTTCAAATGATAATAAACATTAGCATAAAGCATATTTGTCCACTCATATGTTGATAAGAGTATTACAAACTTGAAAAATATTCCTACAGGGTACATTTAGAACAGATAAAAAATGTGCGATTAATTTGCGATTAATCGCGATTAACTATGGACAATCATGCGATTAAATATTTTAATCGACTGACAGCCCTAGTAATAACAGTTCAGATCATGGGGACATTGTGTTACCCGCGGCCACTGTCGTGGTCAGTCCTCCTGCCGACTCGCCGGCTTTGCCCGCCTCGCCCACAGAGGCGGAGCAGCCGCAGCTGTCTTCGTTGCCCCAAACGCCGCCACCCCTCGGCAGCCGGCAAGTACCAGAGGACCTCGGCAAAACAGAGCCTGCCCAGGTATATTTAAAAAAGTAGGCTACCCAACTCGCCTGTACAGTGGGCGCTCATTTTACAGCTCATGGTTTCAAAACAGAGATTGGCTGGAATATTCATGTAAAAAAGATGCCATCTTCTGCATGTAGACATTTCGGTTCAAGTAAGTCAGATGCCTTCACCACAACTGGCTACAACAACTGGCACCATGTTCTTATAGGCTACATGATAAGGGACTGGGAAGTCATGAATCAAGCAAAGAGCACATAGATCCATAGATCTCTTCATTTTGCTCTCAAAGTGCACCAGATTGATGCTCAAAGACAGTTTTTTCCCAAGAGCCATCATTGCTCTTAACACCTGACATCAATGAATCAATGTGACTCTGTACATATACATACATATCATTATTACTATTATTATATTATAAATACACACTATTATTATTATTTATTACATTACAGATTTTATTTTTATACTCCTGGAAATAATTACTGCACTTTATTCTTTATTCCTTTATCCCTTATTCCTAAGTATGTATGCTGCGTGTATTTTGTTGTCTTATGTTGTGATGTTTTGTTTTTGATGGCACCCTTGAAAGGGAGAAGCATTTATCTCATTGTACATGTATAATGACATTAAACTATTCTATTCTATTCTTTTAACTTCAATATTTAAAAAAAAAATCTTCCCGGGGGAGCATGCCCCAGGCCCGGACCCCCTAGAGGAGGTGAAGACCCCCCTAGAGGGTGTTAGGTCCACCCCCCACTTATAAAAATAGCACTTTACCACTGCACCCTCTCTAATCTCAGATGCACCCCGAGTCATTTTGTTCTGGAACCGGGCCTGATTGGAGGCAAGATGGTGGTGTTGGAGGAGCAGAGCATTCAGATAACCTTAATTAGAACAGGCCTCTTTGCAGACATTGTGTCATAGTTTCTTCACACTTATCAAGCGATAAGTATTATGCACAGACAAACATAGTCTAATGTGACTCATAGCTTCAGGTAGAAAACATCAACTCCCTGCAGCTTTGATGTGTCACAACAATCACTGGCATGTCGTGTCTATGGTCTCTGTCCTGGAATAGCACTCCTTCTGGGGTGATGTAACTTCCAAAATGAAATGTACAGCCTGAGGCTTACATCTTCCCTGATGCAATTAAGGACTTAAGCAAGACTTGAAGGCAAAACAGCCCACAGGACAAACGACTTCAAGAAAACATCATGTTTTTGTTTTGAGGCACTTGAGATTGAATAAACAATCACTGACACAGGTCTATGTGATGCTGGGATCCCTGCGCTCCTATATCAATAAGCTACACAGTCAACGTATAGATTGACTGGGCTGTTTGTTTGTCAAGGTTAGGATCTTCTTTGCCAGATAAGAGCCCCGTGTTTGTGTAGCTGATTGATTCTATACTTTACAGCCTCCAGTCAGCATTCGTAGAGTCAATACAAACACAGGATGGAAGACAAAAGCTGGCTGTGAAGAATGACACCTTTGAAAACATCCTTTGGTACACAAACCCTTTAGCCAACCTTTCAGAAGATATTATTTTGCACCAGGTGGTGATAAAAACAATAGAAATGACTCTCTTTGTACGATAGAATCTCAGGCATACATAAAAAGCCACGTGGATTCCTGATACACCGCTAATGTT